GAAAGTTCTTTATGCAGCCATGCTGGTTTCTTTTGGGAGCTGTTACTTTCCTTCTTCATTGGAATTGTGCTAGACTGGGCTTTTGTAATCTCATTTTTCAAAATTTCCCAAGCTTTTTGAGTTGTTTTATGTATAGTACATGGGGGAAATTGCACGTAGTCCTCGACTTACGACCAGAATTCAAACCCTAATTTCTGCTGCTAAGCAGGACATTTCTAAGGTGAGTTTTTACCCCATTTTATGAAGTTTTGCTCCCATTTTCTTGCCACTGTTCTTAAGTGAAACGTCACAGTGAATAACACGGTTGTTAAGTGAATCACCGCAGTTGTTAGGTTATTCACACGGGTTGTTAAGTGAATCTGGCTTCTCGCATTGACTTTGCTTGTTCAGAAGGTCGCAAAGGGGGATCGTGTGAGGCCGGGGCATTGCGACCGTCATAAATATGAGTCAGTTGACAATAACTTGGTCACTAGATGAGCTGTTATAAGTCAAGGACTCTCTGTATACACTGCTTTGGGTTGATTTTCTATAGTGTGCCCAAATCATTGTAAAGAAACACAAATAAGTGATGACTTGCCTCCGTAGCTTCTCCCTGCTTGGCATGGTACAGGCAATCCTCACTTAGTGACCACTTGCTTAACAACGGTTCAAGTTGTGTTTTAGGGAAAACTGCTGGGACATGAGCCTCCACTTCAAAACTCTTAGCAGCTGCTAAGGAAGGAGAATATTTGTACCTCTGGTTTGACATGAGGGGTTCTTGGCTCTCTCTGAGTTTGCTTGCTTTGCTGCAGATGTCTCATGACCCAACTAGGGAACATCATCAGTGCTAGAAGGGGGTGGGGTTGCAGAGAGGAGGAAGGGGAGGAGGAGGAGCAGGGGAAACGGATAAAGAGAAGGAGAACGATAGCAATAGCAATAGCAGTTAGACTTATATACCGCTTCATAGGGCTTTCAGCCCTCTCTAAGCGGTTTACAGAGTCAGCATATCGCCCACACAGTCTGGGTCCTCATTTCACCCACCTCGGAAGGATGGAAGGCTGAGTCAACCTTGAGCCGGTGAGATTTGAACAGCCGAACTGCAGATAGCAGTCAGCTGAAGTGGCTGCAGTACTGCACTCTAACCACAGCGCCACCTCGGCTCTTCAATGACCGTGGGGTCCTTGGTGCTCTCTGAGCTTGCATGCTTTGCTGCAGACGTCTCATGACCCAACTAGGGAACATCATCAGTGCTAGAAGGGGGCAGGGTTGCAGAGAGGAGGAGGGGGAAGAAGAGGAGCAGGGGAAATGAATAAAGAGAAGGAGAACGACGACCGTGGAGTCCTTGGTGCTCTCTGAGTTTGCATGCTTTGTTGAAGAAGTCTCATGACTCAACTAGGGAACATCATCAGTGCTAGAAGGGAGTGGGTTTTTTAAAGGAAGAGATTGGACAACTATTTCTCTGAAATGGCATAGGGCCATAATGGCAAAACTATGGCACACAGAGCCATATTTGCTGGCATGTCAGCAATCCGCTCTGGGGTACATGCACAGGCTGGTCAGCTGATTTTCGGCCTTCCGGAGGGCCCGAGAAGGCCATTTTTGCCCTCCACGGGCTCCAGGAAAGCCTCCGGAGTCTGGAAGGGGGTTGTGCGTGCATGCGTGTGTGTGTGTGCCATACACGCATGTGCAGGTTGGCAGGGAGGATTGAATTGGTGTGGGCATGCGTGCACGTGCACAATTTTGGCCCGCCATAAGAAATAGGTTCACCCTCCCTGGCGTAGGGTTTCCTGCTTGGGCAAGGGGTTGGACTAGAAGACCTCCGAGGTCCCTTCCTGTTACTCTTATTATTCTGTCAACCGGTCCAGGGCTGGGCTGGGCTGGGTTGCGTGCGGGAAATCATCCGTGACCTCTTTCTATCTCTGGTCTCTCTCTTAGGGGGCATATTAGGAGCATCTGCTGATCCTTCACCCACCAACGCGACTCTGCTTTCCGTCACCACCATTTCTTCTTCCAAGAAAACATCGGAGAACGTGACCACCTCGGCTCCCACTTCACTAGGGGCGCCCTTGAGCAAAGCTGCCACTCTGCCACCCTCCCCCACTTCTCCGCTTGGGGTGGACCCACCCAAGGTCGCTACAACGGTGACTTCTGTCAAAACCACCACCCCTTCTTTGCCCACGAAGCGTGGAGGCACTACCGACGCCGCCACCGCCGTCATCGCTGCAAGCACAACGGCCTCGCGGGTTCCGGTGTTGTCTACCACCCACATCACTTCTTCGGGGATTGCTGTGAAAGACCTCCCCTCCACCGGCGGGACGACAACGGTGACCCTTTCTCCCTCCTCGCCTTCCTCCACAACGCCGGTGAGGTCCACAGGTATGTTGCCAATCTCTGGATTATAATTCTCCTAATCCAGGGGTCCTGAAATTTGGTACCTTTAAAGACTTGTGGACTTCAACTCCCAGAATTCCCTAGCCACCTATGGCAGCTTTAAGATTTGTGAACTTCAATTCCCAGAATCTCCTAGCCAGCCGTTGAAATTTTAAGACTTACAGACTTCAACTCCCAGAATCCCCTAGCCGGTCATGGAAGCATTAAGATTTACAGACTTCAACTCCCAGAATCCCCTAGCCAGCCATGGCAACTTTAAGGTTTGTGAACTTCAATTCCCAGAATCTCCTAGCCAGCCGTTGAAATTTTAAGACTTACAGACTTCAACTCCCAGAATCCCCCAGCCGGTCATGGAAACATTAAGATTTGCAGACTTCAACTCCCAGAATCCCCTAGCCAGCCATGGCAACTTAAAAATTTGTGAACTTCAACTCCCAGAATCTCCTAGCCAGCCGTTGAAATATTAAGACTTACAGACTTCAACTCCCAGAATTCCCTAGCTGCTCATGGAAACATTAAGATTTGCAGACTTCAACTCCCAGAATCCCCTAGCCAGCCATGGCAACTTTAAGATTTGTGAACTTCAACTCCCAGAATCCCCTAGCCGGTCATGGAAACATTAAGA